ACTCTGTGCCAGATAAGGGTCTGGTGCGTTGCTAAGACCTACATGACACGAAAAAAAAAGATTTGTGTGTTCAATTTTAGGGGGAATACGTGTAGTAGGTACTTTCGACAAAATACATAGTTTTTTTTTTTTCACTAGGCTGCTGGTAGGCTGTCATTGACAAGTATGATACCAAGGGAAATAAGTTACTTAGAATTTTCTTCAATATAATGCTATCGTTTAAGAACAATAACTTATTTCCACACATTTGTTTCCCACTGTTTTGAATAGCGCACCAATGCCCTAATGATAATTGCAGACTTGTTATTATTTGGGTGATATGGATGGCCGGGTTCCCAGTATGCTATCGGCTGCTATTCAAAAACAACTTGACAGCTGTATGACAGCATTAAGTGTACTTGTTCTCTGAGTACGTTTGGCAATAAAATGCGACAAAAATTATAAATTAAAAGTATTTAATGGTATTAGATGGTAAATTTCCTTATAGAACACAATATACATAAGAAGTTTTGAGAGAGAGAGAGAGAGTAATTCAAGCAAAAAGAAAACAAGTTAAAAAGCAGTGAATACCCTCCACTATTAGGAACGAATTTGGAAATGAAATTACTTAAAAAATTCTGTTAAAATTTTAAAAATATCGAATATAGCCGTTATATTGGTGTCTACACGACGTGGACCTATATAGGGATTATTTGTCATAAGTCATTACCATATTCAAATTCGAAACTTGAAATAAACGGTGAAGAATGTAGCTAAAATCATCAAAATATCGTATATAGGGAGGTACCGTTAAGTAGGAGCTGTGCGAAGACCTGGACCAGCATAGAAAATTTTCTTTTATAGGCTGTAGCATCCATTACGAACCTTAAATACGCGTCTCAAACCATTTCGGTGGGTATTGTACCTAAACTCGTCAAAATACCGAATATAGGGAAGTACTGGCATATGGGGCCTATACGAAGACCTTGACCTGCATATACAATTTTCTGTCACAGACTGTAGTTCCCATTACGAGCTCTAAGTACGTAATTTGAAACAGTTCCGGTGAATAATGACACTAAAATCACCAAAATACCGAATATAGGGAGGTACCGTTATATGGAAGCTATACGAAGACGTGGACCTGCACAGACAATTTTCTGTCTTAGGCTGTAGTATCCATTTCGAACTTCAAATACTAAATTTAAAAAAAAAATCCGGTTAATAAAGTCGCTAAAATCATCAAAGTACCGAATATCGGTAGGTACCGTTATATAGGGGGGTTATATGAAAACGTGGACCTACATGGACCATTTACGAACTTAGCCTGTCTACTGGAAAAATAAACATGTGTGCAAAATTTTAGCCTTCTATCTCAATTCGTTCGAGAGATGATTTGATGATAACAACAGACAGACAGACAGATGGACATCGCTAAATCGACTTAGAATTTTACGCTGATCAAGAATATATATACTTTGTTGGGTCTGACATGAGTATTTCGAGGAGTTACAAATGGAATGACAAAGTTAATATACCCTCCATAGTATGGTAGAGGGTATAACAAGTAAAAACCAGTAGGGAAAGGTTAAAAGTCGGACTGGGCCGACTATATGATACCCTACACCACTATGCGTATTTAGTAAAGCTCCTGTTACAAAAAAGTTTATTTTGGGAAGTTATGTGAAGTAGATCTTTGAATGCATATCATGACTTTAGAGTAGTCACAAATTTGAAGGAGACTTTTGTACCCCTAGTACCAAATAACATTGTTGTATAGTGCATGACATAGCTTCGAAAAGAATTATATTGAAACATATTTTATGGAGTTATAAATATACCGGACCGAGTTTCACCAAATCGAAAAATTCGGTTGTATATGAAACCAGTAAGGAAAGATCAAAAGTCGTGCAGGTCCGACTATATGACACCCTACACCACTCCCTCCCGTAACAAAATAATTTATTTGAAGTAGATCATACCACCTATCAACAATTGGCTTTAGAGCAGCTATAGTTTGGTTTCAGAGGGAACTGACATGGGGGAGGCATATCCACTTCTGAATCGGCTTTCACTAAATTTGCCGGAGACATTTTTATCTTTTATACAAAATAGCATTGCTATAAAGTACATGATACCACTTCGAGAATGATGGTATTAAAAAATTATATATCGAGGCCGAGTTCCACCAAATGGAAACGTACGTCCCGAAATTCACTCAATTTGGTCTGATATTAGCCATTATATGCACAAAAATCTGAAATCGGATTAAGGATGTATAGGTGGGAGCTATATCAAAATCTTAGCCGATCTCGATGAAATTTGGCAAATGTATTTCCAAGCTCTATAAGATATCTGATACCAAATACTATTGTTGCCGAATACATATTACGAATGTGAGGGACTTAAACGCCAAATCGGGTAAATCCTATATATGGGAGCTATAGCTATATCTGAACCGATTTTCACCAAATTTGACGTACTTGCTTCTAGACAGAATTCGGTCAAATGTGTACAAAATTCTGGTTATTTGCAGTGATATTCACATTTGGAAGATATATATGGGAGCTACATCCAAATCTGAACCGATTTTGATTCAATTTGGCAGATGTATTTCTGGGCTGTATCTGATACTAAACATCATTCTTGTGGGGTGCATATTACGAATGTGAAGGACTTAAAACCGCAAATCGTATAAAACATATATATGGGAGCTATAGCTATATCTGAACCGATTTTCAACAAAATTTGAAGTACTTGTTTCTAGAATGAATTCAATCGGATGTACCAAAATTCTTGTAATTTGGACTGATATTGGTCATTTGGTGCACAATTAATCGGTTGAAGATATATATGGGAGCTATATCCAAATCTGAACCGATCTTGACAAAAGTTCTAGGCATTTATTTTTGGGCTGTATCTGATGTTGTGGAGTGTACAGGGTGAGATAAAAAACTGCAACAAAATCAAACGCCATAACGCAAAAAATGTAGGAAATAGCATCAAATTTTAGAATAAATTTATATTTGTTCGAATTGGTCTCCTTTGGCACGAATTATGGCCTTCAAACGGCCAATGAAACCTTCACATGCTGCTCGAATGTTGCGCTGCGGTATTTTGACCCATTCCCGGCGAAGCGCTTGCTTGAGGTGATCAACACATTGGTATTTTTAAGTACCAACCTTGCTTTCCAAAATACTCCAGACACAATAGTCCAACGGATTGGTATCCGGAGATTTTGGTGGCCATTGTGCGCTGAAAATGAAGCAAGGAAACTAATTTTGTAACCATTTTTAGGTGGCGCGTGCCGAGGGCGATGGTGTTGAGTCCTGTTGGTATGTCCAAGGTCTGCGGCCAAAATGTTTGCATGCCCACGGCTTTAATATACCTTCCAGAATATTTTCGCGATAATATTCGGTATTTATTCTGATACCCGGTCGATTACTACGGGCGGAGAGCGGCCTTCGGCTGTTATGGCAGTCCACACCATCACCATGTCCGACGCTCGAGTTCTGGTGGCCAACCGAAGGTGCACATTTTTAGCCGACCTCTTTGGCAAGTAAACACGATCATTTTGTTTGTTTACAAACTGCTGGACAACGAATGTTTTCTCATCGGAGAAAACAAAATTCGGCTGTTCACCACTTTCGACCAAGCGAAGCAACTCTTTAGCTCGTTTGAGTGTATTTTCTTTTTGTTGCGATGTAAGTTCTTGCATTTTTGGAATTTCAATGGCTGTACCCCGAGTTCATTTTTTAATATTTGTTGTCTGTGACACCGGTTTCGATCAAGTCGCTTCTTTACTTTTCGAACCATTTCTGCTGATGTTGCTGTTTTCTTCCGTCCACATCCTTGACGTCGGGAATAACTTGTTTTTTTTTTGGAAAATTCCCACCAAAATGCTTTTGTACTCTTGTAAACAATATAATGAGCTGTCACTGAAACAATTTTAACAGTTGACTTGCTACAACCCCGTTTAAGGGGAGTTTCAAAATATTTTTTTTGAAAAAAGGATCAAAACGACCCCTTTTATGGCTCGCTTCGGGGTTAAATGTTATGAATAAACAAATTAAAAACAGTATATAGGGAGGTACCTATAGGTTATAACGGAGCTGTGCCAAGACCTGGACCGTCAAAATACCGAATATAGGGAGGCACTGATATATGGGGCCTATACGAAGACCTGGATCTGCATAGACAATTTTCTGTCACAGACTGTATATCCCATTACGAATCCTAAATACATAATTTGAAACAATTCCGGTGAACAAGGTCGCTAAAATCATCAGAATACAGAATATAGGGGCTATACGGAGACGTGAAGCTACATTGCCCGTTTTCTGTCTTTGGCTGTACTATCCCTTTGGAACTTCAGATATCAAATTTGAAACAATTCCGGTGAATAGTGTCGCTAAAATCATTAAAATACCGAATATCGGGAGGAACAGTTTTATTTGGGGCTATACGAAGACAAAAGTGAGACTTTAATCCTAAAATTAGTTATTGATAAGAACTCTTGGTGTTGAGGTAAGATTTACAATTTTTAACCATTTTTTGAAAAAAAGAGCCAAAAGACCCCTTTGGTGACTTTATTAAGAGTCAACATTTTCGACTGAAAAAACCTCGCAGCAGTATTGCCGAAGACGCTACCTACCTAAAACGTAAGGATTTCAAGAAATTCTCATCCCAAAGTTTAAAAAAAAAATATTGAAGAGACCTACATTTAGGTGACTTTGCGATGGAAATTTTCAAAACTCGTGTATAGTAGACTCTTTTTTTAAGATCAACCTTCATAATCTACTGGGATTTTTCAACAAGTATTGAAAAAATTGACCATCATATCATCTTTTTTGCCAAAAAAAATTGCATTTCTCATTGAATACCTAAATAACACCTCTTCTTTCAATAACCTTTACTTATCTTAAAAATACGAAAAGTAATTAACTTTTTTTTTCTCAATTTCAAAATCGGAAGTTGAATTCACTGACCAAGGAGGGTTTGAATCAAAGCATAATACATACCTTTTAATAACTTTTTTTCTTTATTGATTATCAATAATGATGATGATAATTAAGGGGTGGACTGACCGAAGGTAGTCGTGGCTGTGTCTGATGAATTTCAATTTGACAATTCTCGATTGTCGTTGTCAATATGAAAAAATAGTGTGTGGTTGGTGTTTCTGCTTTTTTTTTTTTTGTTTGGCGTTGTTGTTATTTGTTACTATTTCTTTGTTGCTTTTCGCGGTTTTTTGTTTTGTTCCGCACTTTTTTTCACTCAAGCATTGGAATTTGTGTTTTTTTGCAAAAATAAGAAATACCACACAAAAGAGTGGTTGTTGTTGATGTCAACTATTTTTGTTTGCTATTTCATGGTGGTTTTAATTGTTGTTGTTTTATTTTCGTTTCGTTTGTTTCTTTTGTTGTTTTATATTATTTTTGTATTCCCTTTTGGCGTTTTGAGAAAAATCACGTTTTGTTTTTTTTTTTGCAAATCACGTTCGTTATATGATATACGCGTGTGTGTATGTAAATTTGTTGTTGTTGTTGTTTTACTTCAATTGTTTTAAAATTTGCCCAGAAGAGGATAAAGGATTCCTTGCTTGGCTTATGAAGATTGTTATGCAGTGGGCACTTAGGATTCTTTCAGCTTGTGCTCGTATTTAACAGGATTCACAATTTCACCACCGTAGGTATTTTTTTGAAATTCTTAAATTTTTTTATACATTATTTCCCTTTTTCGTAAATTTTGCAATTTTCACTTTCAATTCGTTAACAGTTTTCGGATGCGTTTTTTCGAACAATTTTCAAAACTTTTTTTCTGTAAAAAAAGACAAAATTAATTTAAAACATTTTTTTTTCATTTTTGACACAATCGAATTTTTTTATAGAGATTTTCAAATTTCAATAATTTTTTTTTTCAATTTTTATTATCACTTTTTTCCAATTCGTCAATTTCGGGCGTTTGCTGTTGTCGTCGACCGTCTTCAAATATTACGTTTGCGATACTAAAATTTCTTCCTCTCCACACAGCAATTCGGAAGTAGCTATGTGTGTGCGTTTATTTTTTTCTTATTTGCAGGTAAAAGAACTGCCCCCAAAAAGTAAATGTTGTGGGGATAATTGAAAAGAGAAAATGTAAAAAAGAGCAAATTCGTATTAAGAGAATTATTAGCCAAAAATGCAAAGAGAAATATCTGAACAACGTGAGAGTTGTCATGGAGACTAGTTTTTTATTTGAATATTTGTTTACTTTTCAGTGTTGCATAATATGTTAGTTGGTATGGTTGCCATCACAATGAAATATTAATAATGATGGGGATGGAGATGGAGAGGTCTAATAATGGTGGTATTATTATTGTTTAAATACAAGGTGGCGCAAAAGAAATGCTATACATTGTACAATTGGTCCCTAATGTCAGTTCTGTTTTGATATTTTTGTAGTAAACAAATGCGAAATACACGTTAATAAATAATGTTACGCTAGTCTGTTCCAAAACGCGGAATATTGGTGACTATTCATTTGTCCAAAGAAGAAAATGATTTTTTAATGAAAATGATGAGGCCCATTCCAATCTTAGCAGGTACGTAAATAAGCAAAATTTACACTTCTGGGGCACTGAAAATCCGCCTGTAACCCACGAAGAGCCATTACACCCGCTCAAAGTCACTATATGCGGTTTGGCTGGAGGAATTAACTAACTTTTTTTCTTCGAAGACGTCGCGGGTCAAACGGTTACTGTGAATGGTAAGCGCTACAAAGCAATGATCAATGACTTCTTTTTACCGCAACTTTATGAGTTCGGATTGGAAAACATGTAATTCCAACAGGACGGTGCAACGGCACACACTACACGATATGCTGAAGGATGCATTTCCCGGGCGGCTAATCTACCGGTTTGCACTGGCCAGCAAGGTCGCCTGATTTGACCGCTTCAGACTTCTTGGGTTTTTTTGAAGTCACTGGGTTATGTCAACAAGCCTCAGACTCTTTCAGCTCTTGAAGACAATATTCGTCAAAAATGTGAGGAAAATGCAAAAATATGGCTCAAATGACTATAAACTGTGGCGGCGGTCATTTACATGACATCATATACTTGACTTGAGGTAAAAAAAACTAAAAGACCAAATAAAAATAATCCACAAGAGGAACCAAAGTTTTCCATTTTTTTAAATACAGGCAAAAAAAACCTCTGAAGTGCCACCTTGTGTTTACAGGGCCACGTCCTCAAATAGCCAACATATAACGGTATCTCCCCATATTTGGTATTTTAATGATTTTAGCGACATTGTTCAAAGGAATTATTTATTTTCATTTCATATTTGGTATTTGGAGTTTATACCAAGCATTACTTGCTTTGAAAGAAAATACCCTTCACCACATTTTCGTATAAGTCACTACCGTCTCAGGAAGATCATTTGTTACGTTTTCGTATTGTCCCCCATCATGTTGGAAATTCCACGACAAATGTGTCGGAAATAGTAGGAAAGGGGGCTATATGTTTCATTAATGTCCCTCCTTCTTCATGTCATGGAAGTTATAGCTGTAATCATTTAATCCTTCCAAACTAAACTTTTTTTGATAAATGTTTTAATTATTCAGATCAGATTATTTTTAAATGGAAAATAAATATTTATTGCATTTAAGCGCAATGTGTCGCTGGCCTTTTCCACAATTCTCATTAGTTTTTCTATTCAAAATTCTAATAATTCCTCAAGAAAATATAAGAATAAAAGAATTAATGGATAAAAGGCAAACCGAGATTCTCTACGATTTTTTGTAAATGGCGGTTTTTTAACAATATAAGTATTCTCATGTGGTCTGCCGACTGTCTAACACATTTTATGGTGGCTTCACTACATTAAAAAGACATTATTTTTTGATTTTGGAAATATTCTGATATTTTAGACCTCTTAACTAAAGACTTCCAAAAAATTAGAATTTTCGAGGCAAACAACTTACGAAAATGTCATCCAAACTAATCTGATGAGTCCAACCCCCACTGCATTGGGCGCAAAATTAAGAGACACTAGAAAAAATACTTTTTCTTTTAAAAATGTTTCATTATATAGAAGACCAGTATATCGGACCGTGGATCCACCAATTCTTTTTTTGTTTTTTTAAATTCGATTACAGCTTTAGCTATGTGGCACATAGCGCTCTCCTGTTGAAAAACAAATAGTCCGATAACGTAACGGCCACTTCTCGCTCATTTTCGAAGAAAAAATGGTCCAAATTGTTCTTGGGCCAATTTACGCACCAAAAATTACTCGTTTTATGTGCATCGAATGTTCTGTGCCCCAAATGTGTCTAATTTTAATTGTTTACATAAGGAGCTGACGCTGACAGGATTATGCCCCTTGTCATACCGCGGACGAAACCATGGACCATGGATCTCAACGACAATAATATTTCGAGAAATTGACTTGACCTCTGCGTTCGTGTGATATGATGGAACTCGGTTATTTTTGTGGGGATACTTGATCGACGCTTTGGAAACCAATACTCGACGTGTCATGCATCAAGCTATTGAGAAAAGGTGGTCGAAAATGCGATCTCCAGAATGACCAATATGCAAAATTTTCGTGGTGACCATATGCCCGAAATTATATTTCAATGTTAAAAGACAAGAAATTATTTTCCTATTATTTTGACACTCCCCACGGAATTCAACCCAGAAGCAAATACTTCAAATTTTAGTGAAAATCGGTTCATATATAGCTATAACTCCCATATATAGGGTGAGATGAAAAAACTGCAACCAACTTCAGACTGCTGTCATTTCTAAGCCACTCGTCCGACAGCTGTTAATATTATTCCAGTGGCAGCTCATTATTCAAGCGTGATAGTGTGTTTTCTTTATATTTGGCTGGAAAACCACAATTGGCTATCGTTGGAGCACTCCAGCATTTAAATGTGAATAAATCTTTTGAGTTTTCTACTATTGCTCGTTACCGTAATACTGGCAGCGTAGCCCGTCGTCAAGGAAGTGGACGGAAGAAAACACCAACATCAGCAGAAATGGTTCGAAAAGTAAAGAAGCGACTTGATCGATACCCGCGTCGCAGTGGCCGAAAAATGGCTCGCGAGCTGAACATATCGCAATATTCCATTCGGCAAACATCGAAAAATAAGCTCGGTGTATTAAAGCCTTTGACACATAAACATTTTGGCCACAGGCCTTGGACATTCCAACAGGACTCAGCACGCGCCACCCAAGAATGGTTACAAAATGAAGTTCCTCACTTAATTTCCAGCCCACAATGGCCACCAAAATCTCCGGATACCAATCCGTTGGACTATTGTGTCCGGTGTATTTTGGAAAGCAAGGTTTGCACTAAAAAACACCAAAGTGTCGATCAAGCGCTTCGTCGGCAATGAGCCAAAATACCACAGAGCAACATTCGGGCTGCGTGTGACGGTTTCATTGGCCGTTTGAAGACCAAAGGTGACCATTTCGAACAAATCTAAACTTATTCTAAAATTTCCGACATTTTTTGCTTTATTCAAAAAAAATTGCCCTATCCAGATAAAATTTCGCACAAATCATTTGCTTGGCCCAAGGACGAACCCTATTGAAATTGGTAAATAATCGGTAAAAATATAGATATAGCTCCCATATATATCTTCGTCCAATTTGCTTTTTATTGTGCACCAAACGTCTAATATCAGCCCGAATAGTATGAAATTTTGCACATACAACCAAATTAGGCCTGAAAATAAATATGCCAAATTTTATCGAGATCGGTTCAGATTTGGATATAGCTCCCATATATAAATTCGTCCGATTTACATTTGATTGTGCACCAAGCGTCTAATATTGAGTCTAGAAGCTAGTATGCCAAATTTGGTGAAGATCGGTTCAGATATAGCTATAGCTCCCATATATACTGTTCATCCGATTTGTTATATTTGTTACCCACAGCCGTAATACTTACTCCATAACAACGATATTCAGGGAAATATATGAAATACAGCTCAGAAATATCTTTGGCAAATTTTATTGAGATCGGTTCAGATTTGGATGTAGCTCCCATATATATATTTATCCGATTTTAAATTAATTGTGCACCAAATGGGCAATACAAATCCGAATTTAAAAGATACAAATGCTTCGGCATATTTAGTCCATTGAACTTTAAATTATAATTATAATCATAGCGTGTATGATTGAATTCTCCCATAAAGTCTTTTAATTGTTATGTGGAGCTGTACTAAATTAGCAAAGTGGTGTAGGGTATCACCACCGCCCGTCGTTAAGACTTTCTTTACTGGATGAGACTAAAATCAGCAAATCTACATTTCACAGTTTTAAAGAAAAAATCGGCAAAGTACCGGTAATTCGACAAAGGAAGGAAGCCCTGGGTATAATCTTTCAGGGAAATTAGGCTTGTCAATAACATATTGGGCGCCAGTCTTGTGAGGTACTGATAGAAAATCAGAAAAAAATAGCGTTATATAGTAAAATTACACCTCTGAATAGGAAGTCCATTAATAAACCTTAATGCCCTATTCTTAAAAGTCATCCCCTTAAAGATTGAAAACATATTAACCATGTGCCGGTATTTACCCCTTTTAATGTAAAACTATGCCATGTTTCCCCGCATAATAAAGAAATGGTATCCCTTTTCGTAATCCTAATATTATTTACAACCCTGTAAACAGATGATAAGAACGGCAACAGAACAAAATATTTACTTGCAACACGTAATTTCTCTCCCTTCAGTGACTCTCTTTGGCTCACAAAATTTTGCTACTCTCTCTTCTCGAACACACAAAAATAATAAGGATTTCCTACAAGAGAATAAGAAAAACAAATACACAATGTACACAGCGTGTGTGTTCTTCTTGTGCTATTTACTGGATGACGACAAATCCCCACCACTACGGTTTTTTTTGTTTTAATAAAAAAAGACATTTTTCTTCGTTTTTTCTGATACTGGTTGGTTGGTGGTGGGCAAAAACAAAAATCTTCTTACCAACAACAACAACAATGCGACATAATATAAGAATGCCGAACATAAGAACAAACGGTGTGTACACAAACATATTTTTTTTATTCTATTCATTTCTTATCGAATAAATGCTAGCTTGCTAGCTACCACTTGCCGTGGCATTCTCCCAGTTCTGCTTCCAGCAATAATGGCACAAGAAATGCAAATATTTGGACACAAGTAGAGACTTAATAAAAAAAACAAGTAAAAAAGCAGTAAGTTCGGCCGGGCCGAACTTTGAATACCCTCCACCATTTAGAAAGAATTAGAAACTATTCAAAAAAAATAAAATCCATTAAAAATTCCGTTGAAAAATGTGGGTAAAATCATCAAAATACCGAATATCGGGGGGTACCGTTACATGGGGGCTATACGATATCGTGGACTTATATGGACAATTCTCCGCCGAGGTATAAAGTACCCACAAGGAACTCCTTGTGTGGATTTTCAGACAATTCCGTTGAAAAATGTGGGTAAAATCATCAAAATACCGAATATCGAGGGGTACCGTTATATGGGGGCTATACGATATCGTGGACCGATATAACCCATCTTCGAACTTGACCTGCCTGCAGACAAAAGAGAGATCTTAGCTTCCTATCTTAATTCGTTTAGACTGTAGCGTGATTACAACAGACGGACGGACTGGGCTAAATCGTCTTAGAATTTTACGCTGATCAAGAATATATATACTTTGTTGGGTCTAAAATGATTATTTCGATGAGTTACAAACGGAATGACGAGATTAATATACCCTCCATACCTTTTTTGGTGGAGGGTATAATAATGGGAATAACAACAATGTTCTAATATAATAAATTGTTGTTGTAGTTTTTTTTTCTTTTTGATAATAGAACTGTGAACGGTGCTGCTCCTATTCTCTTTGCTATGAAAAGAATGGGGAGCAGAGCGCCGCACGTCGTTTGGGTGTTTTGGGCCATTTATGCAAAACTTTGTTAAGCAACGGCGGCAGCCAGAGCTGAACTGTTTGTGGAGCAATCTGACTTCGTTTTTTTCATTATTTATTTTTTTCTTCACTTCACATGGCCGTGCTAATTTGATAAATATGATTTCTTTGCATTGTGGCTACTTTTTTCTACTAAGGAGGCCAAAAAGAAAAGAAAGAAAACACTATTTAAACACTTTTTCGTGTTAATGATAATTAATACGATACTTAGCACATTCGGGTCTTTGAACATGTACATATGTATGTTTCGGATGCAAAAAAACGCCGACTCTGGGCAATAAAATTCACTTCATAATCAAATGTTGTTGGTTTTTCTAGTTTTCACAATTTCTATTTGAGGAGAATGATGATTGTTGCAATAAGAATGTTGACACTCATTATTATTATTATTATTTGCTTCTTTCTTCTCCTCACAAGCCATTCGTAAAAATCGATAATTTTTTTGCTCTACAATTTAGGTTAACAACACACCACACAATGTCGCGGCACAACAAGAAACTTACAGCAGCAGCAGCTTCCTTTTTTCTTTCTTTCTTTTCCACGTACTTCAACCGGAAGTATTGGCAATAAAATTCGAGAACTTTTGCATAAACTTCTTATTTATTTAAATCGTAAACTATTTTCTTTATTCACGTTTTAATTCTTTCTTATTCATCAATTTGTTGTCATTTGCACTTCTCCGATTTTTACGACAATTTATTTTACATTCCAACAGAGTAGAGTTTCGTTAAAAGACTGAGTACAAGAATTTATTTTTATTAATTTCATGTGTGTATTTTTTGCCATTACTCTCTGTGGTTGTCATCCGTTTGCCCGCTCTCAATGGTTGTTAGCGCTCTCTTCGTTAAGAGAGTCTGACTAAGTTTGCATTGTTAATGAGGAGGGTTGCCGTTGTTTATATTTTTGTTGGGTAATGCAACAACTGTCAATCAAACATTAATTGTGTAGGGCACACTAGATGGGAAAATGGCCCAAATGTATATTTGCTCTTTTTGTAATTGAATTAAAATAATGATTGTAACTGGGATCATTTTAAGAAGATTTAGACATTTATTGGTTTTATATATAATGTATTCATAATAGATAAGATATATTGTAAAAATATGGTAATATATTAATACTTTTCCAGTGGCATAAAAACAAAGGTAAGGCGGAAAGTTTGCCAAAAAGAAGGTGGGCTATTTGACAAAGGAGTAGAAGCATGGTAGAAGAATATAGGTAGTCGCATCAACACAGCTGCTATGACAATGGACTGTCAATCCATGACTCAATAAGAAAGGTTGCTCAAGATTGCCTTATCCCAAAATTTTACAATATTTTACACGTTAACGTGAAAAATATGCATTTAAGCTGGGAATACATAAAGCGCTTATTTGGCTGGCTTAAGTCATCGGCTGGCTTTTTCGGAAATGAACAAAGGAACCTAGGGCCAAAATCGAACTAGGTCAACCTAAAACTCCTTTGTTCATTTACGAAGAAGCCAGCCGATGACTTAAGCCAGCCAAATATGCGCTTTATGTATTTCCAGCCTTATAATTAATGGGTATAAAAACAAAGATATGGCAAGAAGAAAATTGTGCTGTGTGGCAAAGCAGTATAAGTAAAGGTGAGAGTACATAAAAGCATTTTTGACTGGCTTAAGTCGCCGGCTGGCTTCTTCGTGGAGGAACAAAGAAGATTTAGGGTGAGTTAGTTCAATGTTGCCCTAGGCTAATTTGTTGTTTTCCGAAGAAGCCAGCTGATGATTAAAGCCAGTCAAAAAATCTGTTATGTACTTCCACCTTAAATATCATTGATACAAGGGTTTGGCAAAGTTTGCATAGAAAATGAGGCGGGTTGCCATAAGTTACCGTTTAAGTAAGGCAACCTCTGCTTACCACATCGAATTGTGTAGGTTGGAAAATGACCTAGATGGGAAAATGATCCACAGGCATAGTTAAATTTTTGGTATTTTTAAGTAGAAATAGCTTGAACGGGACCTTTATTAGGCGTAATAATGGACGCCAGCCATACGAAGTATTAAAAACGAGAAATCGGAAATTCGTATATTGAAAAATAAAGTTTCTCAATATGTTGGGCGCCAATCGTAAGAGATATTTAAAGGGATGTCGAAATTGGAAAAATTCCAATACGTCATACAGGGTGAGATGAAAAAACTGCTACCAACTTCAGACTGCTGTCATTTCTAAGCCACTCGTCCGACAGCTGTTAAAATTATTCCAGTGGCAGCTCGTTATATTGTTTATAAGCGTGCAAAAGTATTTTGGTGAGAACTTTCCAGACAAAAAAGTTATTCGTGATTGAATTCAAGCGTGAGATAGTGTGATTTCTTTATATTTGGCTGGAAAACCACAAGTGGCTATCGTTAGAGCACTCCGGCATTTAAATGTGAATAAAAATCTTGTGTCTAGTACCATCACTCGTTACAGTGTTGCGTAGCTCGACTTCAAGAAAGTGGACGGGAGAAAACAGCAACATCAGCAGAAATGGTTCGAAAAGTAAAGAAGCGACTTGATCGAAACCCGCGTCGCAGTGGCCGAAAAATGGCTCGTGAGCTGAACATATCGCAATATTCACTTCGGCAAATATTTAAAAATGAGCTCGGGGTAAAGCCATTGAAATTCAAAAAAGTGCAAGAACTTACACCGCAACAAAAAGAAAATAGACTCAAAAGAGCTAAAGAGTTGCTTCGCTTGGCCGAAAGTGGTGAGCCGAATTTGGTTTTCTCCGATGACAAAACATTCATTGTCCAGCAGTTTGTAAACAAACAAAATTATCGTGTTTACTTGCCAAAGAGGTCAGCTTAAAATGTGGACCAAGGCCATAAGAGCCGATGGTCGCTCTCTGCTCGACCGAGGCATCCGAATAAATGCCGAATATTATCGCGAAAATATTCTGGAGGGTGTGTTAAAGCCTTGGGCACGCAAATATTTTGGCCGCAGTCCTTGGACATTCCAACAGGACTCAGCACGCGCCCCCCAAGAATGGTTACAAAATGAGGTTCCTCGATTCATTTCCAGCGTACAATGCCCACTAAAATCTCCGGATACCAATCCGTTGGACTATTGTGTCTGGAGTATTTTGGAAAGCAAGATTGGTACTAAAATGGTACCAAAGTGTCGATCACCTCAAGCAAGCACTTCGCCGGGAATGGGCAAAAATACAATGACTATGCTGCTCAAGAATGTCAAAGGTACTCGTGCTGAAGGTTTGAGCATTTGCTTTCCATCTACATGTTGGGCGCCATTCTTACGTCGTACATTCGAAAAGTGAAACAGAGAGTTTCCCATGGAGGTTTATATCGCTGTGGATTTTGAACTCAAAAATTTTAATATTCCATACTCTCCTGACATTGTCGATATAATATGTGAACCCAAATGACTACCTATGACAATGTCTTTTGTGATGTGGTTAAATCGGTACTCAGGTATAAAAAAAACGATTTCTTCCTTACCTTACGGGCCTCCTAGAGTAAAATATTCAACCTAGATCCAATTCATGGCATAAGATTACGCCCCTATCTTTTATTAATTGTTGGGTTCATTTGGAGCTTTTTACTAGCTTGATACGATCTCCACATGAAGAAATTTTTAAATTTAAAAATTTTGAGGATAGCCAATTTGGAGATAGGTAAAGTTTTGTCGTGGTTAAGAGTTTGGCCTGGTCAAAAATAATAATTTGGTTCCCTATTGCCTGCATGTTTCTAAGCTATTAGATATGTGATATCTTTTGATCAGAGGTCCATTCTTTAAACTTTAAGTAATTTATTTTCTAATACTCAATACTTATAATTTTTAATATTTTTATTGAGTATTTTATAAAGATTATTAAGCTTAGCTTTGTTCTATACATACATATATATATAATTACACAAAATCTATATAAAAAATAAATGAGTCTTTTGTTCGTAGTAGAAAAAAATTTTAACGAAAAAATAAACAATCCTTTTTTTCTTTGAAAACATTTAAACATGAACCGGAGGAATTATCTTTCCCAAATTCAATTTGTTCATTCATCGAGGTAGAGCAATGGGATATGTGTAGAAATGCTGGGTTTTTGTGTGCGAGTGCGAATATATATCCTAATGAAACTTAGGAACATCAGTTTAGTTATCTTTCCTTAATGTTGTAAATCTTTGGCAACCATGTTACACATATTATTGTTCTTTTGATTCAGTGCAATTGTGTAGCCGGGTATTTTTTGTGAATAATTCTTGTGAACGGTTTTCACGTAGTCGAAAGTGGAATGTAGCGCTGCAGATTTGGTGTTTTTAACACTGAAAAGAATTGGGAGAAAAATTTTATTATCTAAAATCGAATATTTTAAATGTTTCGTATTTACTTTATAAACATTTCTGGACGCTGCAAACGCATACACAATTTCAGCTCATCATAGAAATCAATGTGGGCCTGCAGCACAATTTTGGGCTCATAGGAATACACAAATTCATGGGTGACAGTGGCATAGGTGAATCCAACTTTGACCTTGCCGAAAACAGCATTGCCAGTTCTGAAAATAACATAAAAATTTTTAAATTTAGATAAAAATATATTTAAAAAATATATATTTTTTTAAATCCTAAATCCTGAAAGATCCTAAAACACATTCTTTTAAATCCACGCTTATTGGCCTTAAAGTTTCTAAAAAGAAATTCTTTAAAAATCCAGGTTTATTGGCCTTAAAGTTTCTAAAAAGAAATTCTTTAAAAATCCAGGTTTATTGGCCTTAAAGTTTCTAAAAAGAAATTCTTTAAAAATCCAGGTTTATTGGCCTTAAAGTTTCTAAAAAGAAATTCTTTAAAAATCCACGCTTATTGGCCTTAAAGTTTGTAAAAAGAAATTCTTTAAAAATCCAGGTTTATTGGCCTTAAAGTTTCTAAAAAGAAATTCTTTAAAAATCCAGGTTTATTGGCCTTAAAGTTTCTAAGAAGAAATTCTTTAAAAATCCAGGTTTATTGGCCTTAAAGTTTCTAAAAAGAAATTCTTTAAAAATCCACGCTTATTGGCCTTAAAGTTTGTAAAAAGAAATTCTTTAAAAATCCACGCTTATTGGCATTAACGTTTGTGAAAAGAAATTCTTTAAAAATCCACGTTTATTGGCCTTAAAGTTTCTAAAAAGAAATTCTTTAAAAATCCACGCTTATTGGCCTTAAAGTTTGTAAAAAGAAATTCTTTGAAAATCCACGCTTATTGGCATTAACGTTTGTGAATAGAAATTCTTTAAAAATCCACGTTTATTGGCCTTAAAGTTTCTAAAAAGAAATTCTTTAAAAATCCACGCTAATTGGCCTTAAAGTTTGTAAAAAGAAATTCTTTAAAAATCCACGCTTATTGGCATTAAAGTTTCTTAAAAGAAATTCTTTAAAAATCCACACTTATTGGCCTTAAAGTTTCTAAAAAATTATTTAAAAATCCACACTTATTGGCCTTAAAGTTTCTAAAAACAAATTCTTTAAAAATCCACACTTATTGGCCTTAAAGTTTCTAAAAAGAGATTCTTAAAAAATCCACACTTATTGGCCTTAAAGTTTCTAAAAAGAAATTCTTTAAAAATCCACGGTTATTGGCCTTAAAGGTCCTAAAAAGAAATTGCTTAAGAATTCACTGTTATTGGCCTTAAAGGTCCTAAAAAGAAATTGTTTAAGAATCCACGGTTATTGGCCTTAAAGGTTCTAAAAAGAAATTGTTTAAGAATCCACGCCATTTGGCCTTAAATGTCCTAAAAATAAATTCTTTAAAAATCCACACTTATTGGCCTAAAAGTTTCTAAAAAGAAATTCTATAAAAATCCACGCTTATTGGCCTTAGAGGTCCTAAAAAGAAATTCTTTAAAAATTCACGCATATTGGCCTAAATAGTCCTAAAAAATAAATAAAATTCACGCTTATTGTCCTCAAAGATCCTCAACAAAACATTCTTCAAATATCCATGGTTATTGCCGTTTCCATAAGAAAGAGTTCCTTTTTCTCACTCACTCTTGTTTGATTTCCGTATTGGCATTGCGATTCCAAAGACTAAAGCCAGCTTTTCCATTCAAATCCACCGATCTGGCACCAATCACAGTAAAATGGGCCGTGGCACCTGAGGTCAACAACAAATAATGTTCATGATCATGTCCCAACATTGTACCCTGGAAAGCTGGTGTTGGTTCGGAGACAGTACCGCTCCAAATGTGGCTCATTAATTCCGCTTTGCCCGTAAAGAAAATTAAGGGGCGATGTAGAATACCATTGACCGAAATTTCCATGCCAGCAGAAATTGGATCATACTCTTTCTCCTCTTCATCGTCATCTTCCAGTTCACCATCCACCTCATTGTTACCACCCATAAATGACTCCAAACCGTTGGTGAAGATGCCCAACTGAAAAAGTCAATATTTAAATATTTTCTTTTGAAAGACGAAATAAGGGTTGAAATACCTTAAAAGTGCTGGCTGCCCATTCGCCTGCGGTCAGTAATAATTCTACCGAACCTCGTCTCAGCACTCCCTTGTGAACTTCTTGTACACTCAAAAGTGTTTCATTGAAGGCCGGCGAGGAAGATAAAGGTCTTGCCAGGACGGAAGTGAAACCTGAAACAATATTTCAAAAATATTTAAATAAAATTAAAATAGAAAAAGATCTTTAACACCACTCACCCTTCTGTCCCAAAATATGATAGTTATTAATGTGTGGCCTCTCGTTGAGGCACATTTGCAGCAGAGCCTTAAATTTAGGATGTATTTCAGCATAGGTCCTCAGCTTTTGTATAACATAGGTTTTGATTTCAAAATGATGATCATTTGAGGCTAAATAATCCAAGATATGACCCAATTGTTCTTTGGTTGGACGCATATCCAGCAGAATATCCAAGGCAATGGTCCTCGCCGATGTGGGGTACTTCTTACGATTTTGAAAGAAAATTAAAGTAAAGGCCAAGCGATGGGGTTCATGGAAATGCATAACCGAGAAACGACGCAAAGCCTGCATGGCAGCAACAGCCAGTTTATCTTCGGCCAAAAATGCATAACCCATTAAGGGTTCTATTGACTTTTGATCCAGTACATTCTGTAAGCCACGAATCATAAGTAGTTTACAATCGATATCCTTGCCACAATCCTTTTTCAATTGTTGTGTCAAATAACCACGAATATCGATTTCAATTACTTCACGTTCAAAGTGATGGGCCAGCGAGGACATACATTGTACGACGGTACTTTTGATTTTCTTGAAGAGCGGTGAATCATCCATGGACTTGGCAATCTCAAAAAGATCTTGAACAATTTCCAGCTCCGGATGAGTGCCCACAGCCAAGGACTGAAGATATTTCTCCAGCAAATCGAAATCTCCCAAGCTGTTATATTTGAACGTACTATTAATGGCCTTGTGGGCCTCAAAGGTTTGAGTAGCACCCAATAGATCCACCAGTTGTGGATGGAGATCTTTGTGGTTTTGTAAAATCTCCACAAATTCATCGTGGTGGGTAATACGAGCCAACGGCACCAAACGGGCAAAGGCTTCGGCTAGTTCTTTGTGGCCAATCTGTTTGTTCGAAAGTTGTTGGGCATGTTTCTTTATTTCATTTTTAAGCTATAAAAGACAGAAACGTAATTAACTTATATTTTATAAACTCTTATATCATGTAATCCCTACCGTTACAGGTCCAAACTCAGATATGGCACCATCAACATCCGATTCTATGCCAAAGTCCCGATACCAGTCCAATAAACTTTCTACAGCCTCACTGAGACTTTCAAATTGTAACTGTTCCAAGTGTTCGGAAGATTCTTCAACATGTTTGAGGGTGGTAACCGATTCAATCAATGTACCAATTTCTGGTTGAGCAGTTAAGTATAGTTTATGAACCTCCACAGAATGGGCCTGCAACAAGGCACCTTCAGGAGAAATATCGAAATCAACTTTTTCCGAGGATAATCTGGAAATATCTAGAAAGAAAGAAAAAACACACCTTAGTATCAGAATATTAAAATAATCAAAATTTTCTAACTCACCCAACGCCCTCTCAGAACGATAGGCCATTTTCAAATCCCAACCGGAACAATCGATTTTCTTCTTCTCCACTCGCCTGGTGGACGAGGCATTATAGAAAACATTACACATACCGGATGAATCAACCTCAACCATGGGTCCGACTTTGTATTGCAACTGCAGCAACGATGCAATACCCTTTTCCAAATTCAACAAAGATTGATCCTTGTAGGAGTGAGCAAGTACCTTGGTCGGACCATGACCTTCAAAACCAATATAGAATGGCCTGTCAGGTATTTTATGAATTTGTTGGATTTTCTCCCGGCCCTTTTTGTCCGTGGTGGAGACTTGATTTTCGGTGAAGTACAATTGTAGCAGCTGATCCTTATCCTTGCTCCACACGGAATTGACTTTGAGTAATGTTTTGAATGTGTAACTGGTCTCTTCGCTGGAAGCATGTGTCATCTCTTTAATCGTGACTTTATTGACCAGCGAAAAATAATGTTGACTTTCGAAGGGCACAAGCGGAGCAAAGAGGGGTGCTGGAAAAGAGAGAGATAATTTCAAATTTGTTTTTTGATGGAAAATAAAAACAAGTTTTTATTGTTATAATCGCAGATTTTTCAAGATCTGCAATATGATTTTTATGAGTTTATGGGTTTTTTTTATCTGTAAATACGAATTTTAAACAATATTTTTTTAGTGGACCATTCGACCTTTCAACCTGGATTTTCATGATTTTTTTCAATAACCATAATATTTTTTTACGATTTTTTGAAGGACAATTGGACTTTAAAATGTGGTGGTAAGAAATATGCAGAGCTGGAATTCTGAAATTTGGAATTGGGATTACTGTTGAAGTATGGGATTGGGATATGTGCCAAATGGAACAGTTTGGTTTAGTGTGAACGGAGAAGCTAGAATTTTGTATTGGAGTTCATGTTGGTGGTAGGTTTGAGAATTGAAGTTGGTTTTGGAAATGTTTACAAAATTACTAAATGGTACTAAATTTGATGCAATTTGATATTATGTGAACAGGTAGTGCTTGCAGTTAAAATTTTTGTGCTGGGGTAGCTGTTCATGTGTAGCCTTGACATATGGAGGTGGTATTGGAAGTATTGAAACTAATGTTCTAAATTTGGTTTTTCTTGAAAGTAGTAGTATCTGAAGTTAAGATTTGGAGCTGGGTTTGGAAATGTACTAAGCTGAGCTAAATGTAAAGAGACAGAGCTGAAACCATAAAATTGTATGTTGCGATAACTGTTGGTTTCTAGGATTCACACATGGAAAGGTTTTTTGTCGAGTTCCAAATTAAATGAAAAGTACTAAGTGCTCTTATTATTCTTTCCCAAAAATAGAAAAAAAAAACTTGAATATAAAATACCTTGAAATTCGAGGGGGCTACACGAAGACGTGGACCTGAATATGTAAATTTTTGTCATTGGCTGTAGTAGCCATTAAGATTTTCAAATAAGAAATTTGAACCAATTCCTGTGAATAATGTCGCCAATATCATAAAAATACCGAATAAAGGGAGGTATCCTCCATAGTCTGGTGGAGGGTATAAAAAAGCAAAACACATTACCATTTCACATCTGACCTATGTCTGATATAAATATTGCCATGTATCAAGAATGGACTATATCGACTACTTGGAGGGTTGGGAGGTAGGTATCAGGACGAATGTGGCAATAAATTCCATACTCACATCAGAACTTTTTCTGGTAAATATAAAAAGTATTGGAATGTGCCAATTTTCATATTTTTATTTGCACAGTTTAAACAAAATCTGATGATCATTTCTCTTTCTATGAGGTAATTTGGCCTTTTGTGTGGAGGGTACCAAAATGAGTGGACCTATTTTGTCCATCTCTGAACTCGATCTAAGTTTGGTAACAATATTGCCATTGTTGCAATCGGATATTCCATGCGCATGTTAACATGCGCACCAGATAGACGGACGACGGGACACTCCTAGATCGACTCTTAATGTTCTGAAAAGGATTTGGAACAAATGGACCTAGAGCCTAAAAATTACCCCTTTGTTCATTCACTTAAGGGTTAGAAATGTCGGCCAAAATATTCCTCGAATATCATATGTGCAATGTTGTCGAAGACACTATAGAGGAGGAATATAGAAGAGGAATCTTAATCCGAATATTTCCAAAATTGTACAAGAAGTATCTAGGTTAGTTCTCGATACAAATTTTCAAAACGCCGATAACGCCTTTTTTAACGGTACATTCATAATCTGCTGGATTTTGTCCTCAATTATTTTTTTTGTGTTGCACAGTGCCATTATTTTGTTTGTCGATCTTTATATCGCGCCTAGGTGACTCGAACCAAAGTAAGCCATTTGCATGACTATATGACATAAATATACAGCTGCATGAAATAAATTAATTAAATAATTCCAGCGAATGTAATTTCTAGAAAATATTGATTGGTATCAGATCTATGATGATTCTTCGACGAAAAAACGAAATAATAAAAAAAATCGAATGTTCAAATTGGAAATGAATGCATTATTTCTAACCCCTACCAGTCGAACATTGAAGAACGATTCTGTTTATTTAGAATAATAATTTATTTAAAACTTAAGTAGTTAAATTATATATCCTAACAAGTAAGCTAAGGATAAAGTCGTGCGGACCGACTTTTAGCTTTTTGACCAGGGACATTTGCCCAATATTTACGCACTCCGTCTAAATATAATAAATATAATCCAATGGTCATCCCAAATGCTAGACTTCTTCCCTGTCCTTAACTCTCTTCTGGTTTCAATTGTGTGACCAGGAAAATTTTTCTGTTTTTGGTTCATTTGAACCCCTAAATATTTTGCAATCATCTTTCAAAGTAAGTGGCCCCTCTATATCTCCAAATTCAGACTTATCTTTATGATTTCCTTGTCTACCGTATTTGGCTATATTCGTCAACGAAATCAGCATAAAAAGCCAGAAGTTCGCCTTTTGTGTATTTTGGATTTCGCCTGCAAGTTGATATTTCTATTTTACCTCTATTTCGTGTCCTTCGGTTTCTATTTGTGATCTTTATAACGGCTGCAAAATCAGTAACATTTTTAGTTGTTGGTCCATTTTAATCCCTAAATTTATTGCGGACATCTTTATTAGCAATAGGCCTAGACATTCTGAGCCTAACCCTACTCGTATAAAATTTTTTGTGAAGATCGGAAGATAATTGCAATCTGTATATAATAACCCCAACCGGTGTTAAAAGTTAAAAATATTTTACAAAATTTACACTCCAATCAAATTGAAACCAGTAAGAAAAGTCTTAAAGTCGGGCGGGCCCGACTTTATGATACCCTACACCACTTTGCTAATTTAGTAAAGCTCCGCATAACAATTAAAAGTTTTTGTGGGAGAATTCAATCATACACGCTATGATTATAATTATAATTTAAAGTTCAAAGGACTCAATATGCCGAAGCTTTTGTATCTTTTAAAAATCGGAAATCGGATAAAAATATATATGGGATATATACCAAATCGGAACCGATCTCGATAAAATTTGGCAAATGTATTTCTGAGCTGTATTTGATATATTTCCCCAAATATTGTTGTTACAGAGTGCATATTACGGCTGCGGAGAACAAAAATAACAAATCGGATGAACAATGAAATTTGGCATACTTATTTTCAGGTCCAATCTGATCGTACGTACTAAATTCCATACTATTCGGGCTGATATTACACGTTTGGTGCACAATAGAAGGCAAATCGGACGAAGATATATGGGAACCATATCTAAATTTTTACCGATTATCTCCAATTTCAATAGGGTTCGTCCTTGGGCCAAACAAATGATTTGTGCATAATTTCATCTGGATAGGGCAATAAATGCGAACTGTACTTTGTTTACAAAAATACATGGACAGACGGGCGGACGGGCGGACGGACGGACGGACATGCATAAATCGACTCAGAATGTGATTCTATTCAGATCATCAAAAGGAACTATGGGTCTGTCTCGTTTCCTTTTGCCTGTTACAAACAAATGCACAAAGACATAATACCCTGACCACCTTGTGGTGTAGGGAATAAAAATCGCATGCGATAAAAAATATAACAAAATCTATATTATTTTGCCATATTTTTATGCTATTTTTTAGATTTTCTTCTTTTATCCCAAGAGAGAATTCTGAATTGACAAAATTTATCAAAATGATCCAGCCATTCTTGAGATATAAGCATTCTAACTAACATCCCCTCCTCTGTATATACACATTGTATATATTTCGCTATATATATCCGATATATTTACTATCGGCGTCTACTAACGGTCAGAATTGAACTTTTCGTCTATTTCTGATTTCGCCGCGATTAAAAATATTCGCGGTTTAATGGAAAATTTGACTTTTATTTAACACAAATGTTGTGTTGTATTTCACTCAATAAATATTACCCGATGACCATCCAAATTGGAAGTCTTCTGCCCAGTCCTAAGCTCTAGCCACATGCTAACTTCCGCTTTCATTGGTCTATAATTGCGACCTGTAGAACAACTGCAAAATCAGAATTTTTTCAGTTTTTGATCCATTTCAACCCCTTAATATTATGCGATTATCTCCGAAAGCAATAGGCTTCTATTTTGGCTATAACTCGACTAAAATATTTGAATGAATCGATATATCATTTCGAATTTTACAAGATTTATGACACTCAATTTTTACCGTTTATAGGGGTTACAACAGGGAAATGAGTGGGCTGATATTACAAAACTTGGAACTTGATATAAGTTGGACAAAGAGCAATTAAACGCGACATAAAGACATACATTTTCAAATTTCAACTTTCAAATTGCTTTCTTGTTAAATTATTGCTCTGTTCCAGTACCTGGAAGAATCTACTAGTTTTGCATTTTTTATACCCTCCACCATACTATGGAGGGTATATTAATTTTGTCATTCCGTTTGTAACTCCTCGAAATACTAATGTCAGACCCAACAAAGTATATATATTCTTGATCAGCGTAAAATTCTAAGACGATTTAGCCATGTCCATCTGTCTGCCGGTCTGTCTGTCTGTTGTAATCACGCTATCTTTCGAACAAATTGAGATAGAAGGCTAATATTTTGCACACATGTATATTTTGCCAGTAGGCAGGTTAAGTTCGTAAATGGGCCATGTAGGTCTAAGTTATCATATAGCCCTCATATAATGGTACCTCCCGATATTCGGTATTTTGATGATTTTTGCGACATTATTTAACGGAATCGTTCCAAATTTGGTATTTGAAGTTCGTAATAGATACTGCAGCATAAAACAAAAAATGGGCCATGTAGGCCCCCATATACCATACCCCCCGATATTCGGTATTTTGATGATTTTAGCGACATTATTTACCGGAATCGTTTCAAAGTTGGCATTTCAAGTTCGTAATAGATGCTGCAGCATAAAACAGAAAATGGGTATTTGGATGATTTTAGCGACATTATTTACCGGGATTGTTTCAAATTTCGCATGTGAAGTTCGTAATGGATACTTCAGCCCATGCCAGAAAATTGTCTGAGCAGGTCCACGTCTTCGTATAGCCCCCATATAACGGTACCTCCTTTATTCGGTGTTTTGATGATTTTAACTACATTATAAACAGATTTTTCTTCAAGTTTCGCATTAAAATATTGTAATAACTTATGACAAAAGTTGCCTATGCAGGTCCACGTCGACGTATAGGCATTCGGTATTTTTAAGATTTGAACAGAATATTTAATGGATTTTATTTATTTATTTTTTTTTTTTTTTTTTTTTTTTTTTTGTTTGGAAATTGTCAAATTTGTACAAATGGTGGAGGGTATTAAAAGTTCGGCCGGGCCGAACTTACAGCTTTTTTACTTGTTTTTTTTTTTTTTTTTTTCGATATTATAAAGGCAAAATTTGCTATCGTGCTAAAAACTTTTACATTCTTGCAGTTCTGGAACAGACAATATATGTGTATACTTTATAAATAAATCTATAATTTTAGTAGCCTTTTTAATTGTCCATTCCCACGCTAACTCCAGAATATTCTGGTTTTTCATAATTTATAATATACATTATTTGTGTGTGGAAATTTCTACACGAAATTTGAATGGAGACATGCCCTTCTTATCTCTGACTGACATATTTCTAAGATATTCAAATTTATGACATTGCTCAGAAACAATTCAAGCAAATGTATTAAATATAATTTAAAATGTCTCATTACATATTTATTTTAACAATTAATGATAAGTTAAATAAAACTGCTATTTGTTAAGAGCCACGTCATTTTTCCCTCCGTCGATTTTCTTTTCGATTTATGAAAGTGAAAATAAAAAATCTCAGCTTGCCAAAGATGCTGCTCTACAATAATAAAAATACACAAAAGAGTAATATGCTATGGTATGTAGCTAAAGAAGAATGCAAACAAAGCCAGTCCGTCAGCCAGCCAGCTAGCTAGAATGGAGTGTGAAGCAAGCAAGAATCCAACAAAAAAAACTTTCACCATTATCAGAGTGACCTCAAAACACTGATTGTTTGCTTAAGGTTATCAATATTGGCTGGGATGTTGAGGCAAAAAAAACGGAGCTTGTTGTAAAGCTAAAGGTGGAAAATGATATTTAAAAAGTTGGCTATAGCAATTGATCACCTTGCCTGTCATGATAGATAGTTCATTCAACTCTCTCTTTTCTTCTGAGCAAGGAAGACATTTTCTATTGCAACATTGTTTCCCAAACTCGCTGGCCATCGTTATGGAATTTGATGCCTGGTAATAAAGAACACATGTTTAGAATATTTAATTTTTAACTTATGCCAACAAAGTAATGGTTACGAATTACAGTTGTTTTTTTTTTTGTTTCTTTCATTTCCTCCCGGCTTTTTTGTGTTTAGGTTTGTTGTTGTTCTTAGGGGGTTTAACTTACCGGTGCCCGTCGCAGCACACAATGCCAACAATGCATTGAATATTAGAAATCTTAAAATCATTTTTAAACAAATTTCACACACACACGGATGAGATTGAGTATTGTTGACCGGCAATTTTTGTTTAACAAATTGATTTCTTCTTCAACACTCTTTTATATTTTCATTAATAAACTTCAATTGAAAACTTTATTCATTCATTAAATCTTCTTCAATTACAAATGCACACAATCGGAATGCAACGACACGACCGCGGTTGCCACAGTTGTTAGATTTTTACCAAAATCGGCAATTTGGTAAACTTTTCCGCTCTTGACTTTCGCTTATTGACGTTACATGCAATAATAAGTGAAATGTCGAAAAAGATCTGTGGTCCCAAAATCGAAAATCGATTACAAAAAATCGATTTTGCGATTTTTACTTTTCAACGCAAAAAGGAAATCGATTAATCGAAAGTCAACTCACTCAGACAAAAAAATTCCATTTAAACCACAACAACAAAAACCAAAACATTGTACCAGTGTTGCCATAGGGTAAACTACATATTAGGGATGTAGGCAAAACTTGTTAGACATTTGGGGGGTAATTAGACATGTACAATTTTTATACCCTCCACCTTGGAAAGGAGGGCATAACAAATTTGTCATTCCGTTTGTAACATCATTAAATATTCGTCGTAGACCCCATAAAGTACATATATTCATAATCAGCATAAAAATTTAAGTCGATTTAACGATGTCTGTCTGTCTGTCTGTTGAAATCACGATACAGCCCACATTATTTTACATGGAGCGCCAATATTAAGCAGAATAATTTATATTGTGTCTACGATGGTTGGTATTGAAAATGAGATATATCGGTCCACGTCCTGGTATAATCCCCATGTAACGGTACCTCCCGATATTCGATATTTTGATCATTTATGCCACATTTTTCTCGGATTTGTCTGAAAATTGGTATTTTTAGGTCATAACGGGTCCCTGTGCGAGTGGCAAAACATTGCATGTATAGGTTCACGTTTTGGTATAGCCCCCATATAAAGGTACCTCCTGATATTCGGTAATTTGATGATTTTTGCCACATTTCTTCACGGGTTTGTCTAAAAATTGACATTTGTGGGTTATAATGGGTCCTAGTTCGTGTGGCGAAACATTGTATGTATAGGCCACGTTTTGATATAGTCCCCATATAACGTTACCTCCCAATATTCGGTATTTTGATGATTTTTGACACATTTTTTCACGAATTTCTCTGAAAATTGGTAGTTGAAGATCATAATGGGTTCCCAGATCGTGTGGCGAGTCATTGTAATTATAGGTCCACGTTTTAGTATAGGCCCCATATAACGGTACCTCCCGATATTCGGTAATTTGATGATTTTTGTCACATTTTTTCCCGGATTTGTCTGAAAATTGGTATTTGTAGGTCATAATGGGTTCTAGCTCCTTTGGCGAAACATTGCGTTTTTGCCACATTTCTTCTGTTTCCTTTACCTTAAGGTGGAGGGTATTAAAAGTTTGACCCGGCCAAACTTAATGTTTTTTTACTTGTTTTATTATGTATTATTCCTTTGTGCATTTGTTTGCAATATGGAGAAGGAAACGAGATGGACCCATAGTTACTTTTGAGGATCGTCATATAATCACTTTCTGAGTCGATTTATGTATGTCAAACCATCTGTCCATGTATTTTTATTTTGTTCACAAATCAGTCCAATATCAGTCCAAATGACCTGAATTTTGGCACATCCCAGAGAATTCAGTCCATAAGCAAGTACATCGAATTTGGGGAAAATCGGTTCAGATATAGCTATAGCTCCAATATATATGTTTCACCCGATTTGGTGCTTAAGTACCTCATATTTGTAATATATCCGCAAGAATGAAAATTGGTTACAGATAAAATCTCTGCAAATTTTACCAAGTTCGGTTCATATTTGGATACAGCTCCTATATATATCTTCAACCGATTTCGGGTTAAGTGTGCTTCAAATGGCCAATATCAGTTCCAATGACCTAAGTTTTGGTACATCTGACCGAATTCAGAAACAAGTACATCAAATTTGGTGAAAGTTGGTTAAGATATAGCTGAAGCTCACATATATATGTTTCATCCGATTGGGTCTTTAAGTCCCTCATACGTACTCCATAACAATGATATTTGGTACCAGAGCCTTTGCCAAATTTTATCGGCTATATTCTTAATCCGATTTCAGGTTTACTGGATCAGGATTTTAAATAATGGCTAATATCAGCCCAAATGGAGTGAATTTCGTGACGTACGTTTCCCCAAAAGGACATATATTCCTGATCAAATTACAATTATAAGGCGATTTAGAGATGTCCGTCTGTCTGTACGTTGAAATCACGACAGAGTCTACATTATTTAATCCAGAGTTTTGAAATTTGGCACAAAGGTTTATATGCAGGCTGAATGGTATTAAAAATTGGTACACGTAGCACTCATACAACTCATAGCACTCATATAACGGAACCTTCAGAATTTGGGTATTTTGAAGAACTCTGCCACAATTTCGAACTAAATCAGCTCAAACTTTTAATTTTGGGTTCTTGGTCGGATTTTTCTCTCACTGCAAAAATATTCCCTACAGATCCGTTAATTGGCATGGCCCCCCATATAACGGTACCTCCTGACTTTCGGTATTTTAAAGGTTTCTGTACCAATTTCCAACCGAATGGCCAAATTCACACGAGAGTAATTGTTCTGGTCTAAAGGGCTAAGCACATAAGAAGCTTGAAGTCACGGCTAGGCATATTTTGTGACATTTCACAAAGGGATTACAGAGCCGCACTAAAATCCAGCCGTCGTTTTCCATTATAATTTGACATTAATATGCCTAGCCATGACTTCAGGCTTCTTATGTACTTAGCCCTTAACAAAGCAGCTTGTAGGCATTTTCGATCAGGAGAGTCGTTTTTGGGTGGACTAAAATTTCATCCAGATTCAAACCCACATTAGCAGAACCAACTATATATTTATAATTATATCTAATTCAAATAAATACACGTTATTAAAAAAAACTACGATAAATACTTCAAATTTTTATTTGAATTATATTTTTGTATCACTAATTTCAGAAATTTAGGAAACAGAAGATTATTTTAATTGAATTAATGGCAATGTAGAAAAATAATTTAAATTAAATATTTATTAGTTCAAATATAAATATGAAAATATTTAATTAATTTATTTAAATTAAATACGAAATCCCCAGGCATAATAAATTTAAATATTTATTTAATTTCTTAGTAAATAAGTAAAGATATTTGTTTACCTTTTCAATTTTGGCAACATTTTGATATGGTTTGGGAAACATTTTGGTAGTAAAATTGACCCACGTATAAGGGGGACCAGCCCAGGTGACTACCAAATGTAATGTCAAAATTCATTACTGTGATTGACATCACAGAACAAAAAATAAAAATCTGCTGGAGCACCTGGTTATTGTGCCATGATTTTTGCTCTGTTCCAGAACCTGCAAGAATCTACTAGTTTTGCAATATTTTTCGATATCATAAAGGAAAAAACGGTTATCGTAGTAAAACCTTTTAAATTCTAGCAGTTCTGGAACAGACCATGTGTATTTAATTAATAATGCCATAAAAAAAATTTGATTATTTTAGGAATTTATGCCAAGAAATCGTAGGAACATATTAAGGGCTTACTGGAAAAAATGAAAAATGTTGGAACTGAGAATTATTTACCAATGAACGAATGTAGGATTTTTGTGAGACACACTTGGCAACTGCAAAAAATGAGTTCAAAACGTAATTAAAATAATTTATAGTCATTTATAGTCACAACCCATTCATCTACTTTTCCAATAACACCTATGCTCTGTTCCAAAAACTGCAAGAACAAGAAAAACATTCTCGCAGTTTTGAAAGCAGAGCGTTACTCGTGCTTTATTTCAGGACCAGCAAGAATCTACCAGAAGGTGTGGACCGATATATCCAATCTTTACAGCAGATCTTGTGTTAGTAGAGATAATGGGATGTGTGAAATATGAAGAGAACGGGATGCTTATTTCGGATTTTATAATCGTTTTGGCTTTGCTGGTTTGTCCCTTTGAAGGGGATGTATCAGAAAGAATGATCTCATCTTTACCATCTTTATAACAGATCTTGTGTTGATGGAAATAATGAGATGTGCCAAATCTGGAATGGAATCGGATGTTAATTTTAGGTTCTAAGAGCTTCATGGGTATTTAAACTGTTGGCCCTTTGTAGGGGAGGTACCAGAAGGGGTGGACTTATATATTCCATCTTCACACCAGACCTTGGATTGACGAAATATTTTGATGCGTGTAATTTAAAGATAATTGGACTGTTACATCACATTTTTTACGAGTTATAATTTTTCAAAAATTTTACCCCTTGTGGAGGAGGTACTTGATTGAGTGTACCAAATATTAGGATTCGCAAAGTTCGAGCAAGATCGAAAGTCTTAAAAATACCGAATGTAACAATTATATTAGGGTCTATACGAGGACATGAACCTGCGTAGGTAACATTTGTCATAAGCCATTACAATATTCAAATGCGAAACTTAAAAAAATCGGTTATAATGTCGATAAAATCCTTAAAATACCGAATATCGGGAGGTCCGTTATATGGGGGCAATACGAAGACGTTGATCTGTACAGACAATTTTCTGTCGTAGACTGTAGTATCCATTACGAACTTTAGATGTCAAATTTGAAACAATTCTGGTGAAAAATGTCCCTAAAATCATTAAAATACCGAATATCGGGAGGTACCGTTATATGAGGGCTTTACGAAGAGGTGAACCTGCACAGAAAATTTTCTGTCTTAGGCTGTAGTATCCATTATGAATTTTAAATACCAAATTTGAAACAATTCCGGTGAATAAATTTGCTAAAATCATCAAAATGCCGAATATCGGGAGGTACCGTTATATGGGGGCGCTACGAAGATGTGAACCTGCACAGACAATTTTCTGCAGTATCCATTACGAACTTCAAATACCAAATTTGAAACAATTCCGGTGAATAAATTCGCTAAAATCATTGAAATACCGAATATCGGGAGGTACCGTTATATGGGGGCTTTACGAAGAGGTGAACCTGCGCAGACAATTTTCTGTCTTAGGCTGTAGTATCCATTACGAACTTCAAATATCAAATTTGAAACTATTCCGGTGAAAAATGTTGGTAAAATCATCAAAATACCGAATATCGGGAGGTACAGTTATATGGGGGCTATACGAAGACGTGGACCTGCACAGACAATTTTCTGTCTGAGGCTGCACTATCCCAAATTTGAAATAATTCCGATGAATTTTGTCGCTTAAATCATCAAAATACCGAATATCGGG